TAATGCGAATAAAAAGGTTTTGGTTCATATACTGGCAGACATTTTAAAGGATTGTAGGAGAGTGTACCTTGGTAAAGAAATCATGGAAGATGTGAACCAACGGTTCAATATTAGCATCTCCTACCATCAAGCATGGCGAGCAAAGATGTATGCCTTGCAACTGTTGAGGGGGACCCCGAAATTGTCGTTTAACCTACTCTCGGTTTATTGTCACAATCTTAAGCTAGCAAATCCGGGGACTGTGACAGAGATCACTCTTGATCCACTTGGACGATTCGACATGTTGTTTGTCGCACTCGGTTGTTCGGTAATAATTTTGTCATATTTTATAATTATTGTCATAATTTTATGTTCTGAAATTACATTTTTAATCTCGTTCATCTGCAGCTTCGATCGTTTCTAGGACACATGAGACTGCTTCTTATAATGGACGGTGCCCATCTGAAGGGGCCGTACGTTGGCACCATATTCTTAGCCGTCGGCATGGATGGAAACAATGGTATCGTACCCATTGCAATGGGAGTGGGGAAGACAGAAAGTGGCCCGTCATGGACATGGTTTTTACGTAAGCTTAGGCAGTTTATCGGTGATGTGCCCAATTTAACCTTCGTCACCGATAGGGCTGCCTCTATCGACCTGGCCATACGAACTTTATTTCCTTCTACGCACCACGGACTTTGTTGTCGGCATCTGAGCCAGAACCTCTGCCTAAACTCCGCTAAAGAGAAAAGGAAACGGTGGATGTTCTGGGAGGCATGCAAAGCTTATTTACGTATCTTCACGTGCTTATTTATACGTATATATGTGTAACATCCCGTCCCACATCGGTTGGTGAGGTGAACAAAGCACTCCTTATAAGGGTGTGGATACCTCATCCTAGCATGACGCGTTTTGGGGCTTGCGTTGTGCGGCTGCCAKAAACAAAACCGTGCGACTACTGCTTTGTGGTTAAGCGGGCAGGTTAGTCAAAGCGGACAATATCATTGCTACGGGGTTCTGGGGGCGTTACAATTGGTATCAAAGCCAGATCCGGATCGATGTGGCCCAACGAGGACGTTGTGTCCTAACGGGGGGAGGGTGTAACATCCCGTCCCACATCGGTTGGTGAGGTGAACAAAGCACTCCTTATAAGGGTGTGGATACCTCATCCTAGCATGACGCGTTTTGGGGCTTGCGTTGTGCGGCTGCCAKAAACAAAACCGTGCGACTACTGCTTTGTGGTTAAGCGGGCAGGTTAGTCAAAGCGGACAATATCATTGCTACGGGGTTCTGGGGGCGTTACAATATGTGTACGGGTTAAAACCCGTACATATGTTTACGTATCTTCACGTGCGTATTTATACGTATATATGTGTACGGGTTAAAATCCGTATGCATATTTACGTATCTTCACGTATGTATGTACGTATATATGTGTACGGGTTAAAACCCGCACGCATATTTACGTAAAAAAAGCGATATAAATTGAGGTAAAGTATATACATATAGAGATGCATTACGTAAAAAAAAAACGATATAAGTTGCGGTAACATATATATATATATATAGATGCATTACGTAAAAAAAGATATAAATTGCGGTAACGTATATATATATATATATATATATATATATCTATACTACCTTATTAAACAAATTTACTCAAAGTCTTAAATTTTTTAATACCCAAAATACCCTTACACTTCCCTCCACACGCCTCCCCTCCCCCAAGATGCCTCTTCACTTTACCCGGCTCCCATCCCCCAAGAAGACTCTTCCCCTTATCGGCTCCCAAGACGACGATTCACTCCCCAAGATGGTTCCCTTTAAGAGTCGTCCATCGTCCTTCTCAAAATCGTCGTTCCCACCGCCGAATCGTTCCTCAATTGCTTTCAATCGTCGTTTCCACCGCCAAATCGTTCAATCGCCTTCAATCGTCGCTCTCCAATCGTTCCTCAATCGCTTTCAAGTATGAACAATTTATCTGTTTGAGTTTTGTTTTTAGGTTTTGCTTTTGGGTTTTCGCTCTCCATTCTCCATCTGTTATTTCATCTGTTTGAGTTTTATTTTTGGGTTTTGCTTTTGGGTTTTGGGTTTAGGGCTTCATTTAGTATAGATTTTGTATTGTTATTTACTGATTTGTTGAGAAAATCTTAGCCCTATAATTTCTGTTAAATAGCTACTGTAAATCAATTGTTTTCCTGTTAAATTGTCATTTGTTAAATTCGAAATTTGACCTGTGTTCTCGAATCTTTTTGTAGGTTTTTTGAATATTTGGTTTACACTGTGTTCTCGAATTTGTCTTGATTTTTGTCTTCTCGAATCGTTCTGCTTACACTGTCCTTCAACCTTCAATCCATCTTCCAGGTAATTATTTGGTTTGTTTTGCTGTTTTTGAATCTCAATGGGTGTTTTTGAATCAACACTTTTTGCAGACTGTAATGTTCTTTTAATCTTTTTGGTTTTCATAAGAACAACGGTTATGAAAAGCAAAGTGAAATGGTTAAAAAATTCGCATTACTTGGTCTTTTTTATGAATCTTTGCAAGTATGAACTCTATATAAGACTGTTGATCCTCTCTCTCAGTGATTTGATGATAATCCCTTTTATCTATCGATG